TGGAAGTTGCCATGGACCGATCCAATCCGATCCGATTCAATACGTAACCCATTTCTGCCACCCCATTGGCATTTCCTATTGTTTGTCTGCTTTGTGGCAGCAGCCCCTTGATTGAGCCTAATATATAAATAAATATGGGAACAAATGCGGCCAAAGTGGAAAGCATAAATTCTGACCCACACCACCTACAACAATGCCAGCCGTAGGGCTGGGCTAGGGATTCATTCGGAGACCTCTTTTACGGCGTATGCCTGGAGTGGAGTGGATCTCCATTTGCTGCCCCTAGATCATCGTTGGCATTAGCCCTTTTTATGGCCAATTCCATTGAATTTGATTTCGATTTCGAGCCCCCCACAAGAATGTGATATTAAAAACCGACACGAAAAATTACGGCAGGGGCATAGAAGTTGTTCGATTTGAATCCGTCCCATTCCATAGTTTGTGCCATAAGTTTGCAGTTGGCTGCCACTGTTTATATCTGTATCTTCCTCTGGCCGCTGGTGGGGCTGTTGTATCTTTTGGGGCTTCTTTCTGGTTAATTTTAATTTAAATATATGAAATATATTTATAGCCATTGTTGCGGTTGCTGTCAGTCCCAAAAAGTGTGGAAATAGCTTCAATATTTGTTGTTCATATTTTCGGCTTCTTCTTCTTTTTGGCGATTCGACGGGCTCTAATGACAGAGGTACCCCACTCCCCACACTCCCACACTCTCCTACACTCGCGCACTGGGTGGGAAAAGTATGCCGTGCCGCAGACCTGCGGCCAGCACTGCCCGGACGCATATTGCTCTCAAGTGGAGCGCAAGAATTTTTGGTCAAAGGCCAACCCAAGTCATCAAACGAAAATTGGGAAATAATGGAGAATTATGACTATCTTGTACTATATGCGGCCCATGAATCATTTCTGTCCAGTGGTGAACACCCTTAGTATGACCCAACTGATTCTTACTAACTTTAAAATTGATTGGCCTGTCTTTGTTTCGTTCTGTTAATGGTAAAAACACCCCGATCTTATCGGCCAGATGGGGCTTTGTTGGCTTATTCTGCCACTTGGACGGGCCTTAGGTGATTTGCCAATATTAATGGGGATGGAACATGGTCATTCATCATTTATTGGTCTGAACAAACAGAACTTTAACTGAAGGCTGATGATTTTTGCAAACGTTGACAGACCTTCGGTTTTCCGTGTAGTACTACTCCCAACTTCAGCTGATGCAGCGTGAATGTCACAGGGCGCCGCCTACCGACCCTCGCCTCAGCCTTAGCCTAAGCATTTGCCAATCCAAAATTACAATACTCAAGACATTACTCATAAGGCTCGGATATCATTTAAAATTTTCACAAAGTAAATCACGCAACTGCATGTGATATGGGTTCCGTTGGATGGCTGGAGTTGGGGTCCGAAACGTGCGATTTCCCAAGTGCATTTCAATGGGGCGTGACAGAGGCATCCACAATGGGCCGAATGCTCATTCCGAGTGGTTTTACATGCCCAGATCATATAAAGATATATAGAAATACATACATATACATATGCGAATCAGTTCTGTTCTATTCTGTTCTATTCTGGCCATTAATCAATTATTGTTTGCCACTTTTCCTTTTGGCGAATTGAAGGCAAGTGCCTCGGATCGGTTGTTTGTGGTTGTGTGATGTTGTTTCCGACACATTATGGCCTGGGCATAAAAGCATTCTAATGGAATATCTATATACACACTATATATGATTTATGGTTACCCTTGTTCTGTTTGATGTTGAATTAAAAGATATACACTACATACACCCCAGTGATAAGATACAAGAAAAGAGACACCGCAGGCACGTTTCGAAGACTCTTTCAGCTCTGATGTACATTCATATGTATGTGTCTTTGGCCCTGTGAGTCAGTTCTAATTTTGATTTGGCTAACATGATTACAGTTTTCAGCTGTTTCCGCCGCCCGAATGCGGAATCATCTTTTGTCCCAGCTGCAATCGAGCTTGAATGCAGGCCGCCCCAAAACGACACTGATTGCAGGCCTGGCCGTGGCGTATACGTAATACGAGTATGCACATCACACATACGGCGGGAGACAACAGCTGACCTACGCTTCAGATCTGTGCTTTGTTCTGCTGTTGTCTCCATTTATCTGTGGGTGGGTGGGTTACATTTGACAGGTGCGGGAGATGCGCTTGATTGAATGCTTTCAGCCCCCCCGAACCAAACGAAACTAATCCAAATCCAAAGCAAAAAACAACCCAGACCCAGACCCCCAGTACGGCATTGATCTTGTAATTCGTTAATTCGAAAATAAACGTTTTGACGCGCCCATATCCAAATGTATATTCGTTTTCGCATTGGGTGTAATTTACTATTTTAGTTTCAATCAACAAAATAAACAAGTTAGCGCCGAGATTTATGAATGGAATGGGCAATGGCCCGTGGGGGAAGCTGGGAAGTGACCTTTCATTTAAATGGCTCCAGTTCCGATCGATCTATATACAAACATTCTTCTCTTTGCAGAGCATGGAACTGCACTGGCTGCTGCCCCTGATCGTCTGCCTGTACAGTCTGCGGGCCCTGCCCCTGCCGGCCTCCGGATTCGTCATTCAGGATGAGCGGAAGTGCAAGTACGCACGGATCGAGTCGCTGCTGCGCATCCGCTGCTACGACATGGACCTCAAAGAGGTACCCCAGAATCTCAAGACCTCGGTGGAGGTGAGTAACAGTCTCTCGGGGGTCAATCGGGCTGCGATCCGTAACTTAATTCGTCATCGACCTCGCTGCGGTCCCCCGCCCATTTAGCCTCAATTGAGCTTAATTAAAGCATAAAGAAGTTGGGGCTGCACAAACATAACTAAATTATACACATATGTATATGTATATATATCTATGGGAACATGCCTAGTTCCAGTTCCATATAGATTCCCATTCACATTCATGGCTTTCGAGTGTCATTAAATGATTTGGCAATTTGTGTAGGTTCTGGATCTATCGTACAATCGCATTAGGAAGCTGAAAAGTGGCTCGTTCCAGAGGTACACAGACATCAGGTATCTGATGCTCTATGAGAATATGATCTTATCGGTGGAGCCGGGCACCTTTGAGCCGCTCACCTCGCTCCAGGTAACAACGCCATCCAATTAATCAGCGAAATGCCATTACCACCGATATCTCCTATATATATCTCAGGAAGTGGATCTGTCTAATAATGGCCTCACCACGATTCCCATGGAGCTGTTCACACTGCCCAAGCTGAGAAATCTTTATATAGACAGCAACGAACTGACACATCTGGGCCTGGAGACGCTGCAGAAGCCCATCACGGCTCCCCTCGAGTATCTGAACGTGGCCAATTGTGAGCTGCAAGACCTCCCCGATCTGGGCGTACTGCCAAGTGAGTCAACCAGTGTCCCCACAAGACATCGGTCCGATATTTCACACTTATTACTCTCCCCGCAGAACTTTGGCAGCTGAACGCCTCCATGAATCCTTTGACCAACTTCCACATCGACGGACTGGCCAACTTGTGCCATCTGCGGGTCATGGATCTGAGCAAGACGCAGCTCAGTCCGTGCAGCTGCCAGCAAGTCACCAATCATATCATGATGCTCGGCGCCAATCCAAAGTTCGTCCCCGTTTGCATGGGTAAGGCGGTGCAGCCGCAGTCGCAGCCGCAGCTGCTAATTTTGGCACATGACCAACTTCTTTTTCACATTTCCATTTCCACATTTCGAATTTTTCACTTTCCATATTCAGAGGCGCTCAGCATAGACTCGTGTCCACTGCCCTACAATCGGACGATACACTCGGAGACATTCCGCAGTTGCCTGACGACTGTGGACCTGGCCGTGTCGCGTAGCCTCTGGCTCTTTGCGGCCGGCTGCTTTGGCGGCGTCTGTTTCGTGCTACTGAGTGAGTAGATTCGGGAAAACTCGAGTGAATCTCATTCTAATGTCATCCCCTTCTTTCCCGACAGTTGTTCTGTGGTGCGTGAGCAGGTGCCGCAAAAGACGGGCCAAGCGACGGATGAGCCAAGCCCAAAAGCGCAAGCCTTTTGTGATCTCGCCCAGAAATGCCAATAACCGCCTACCGGAGGACGAACCTCTTCACTGTGATACTGCCAGACCCTAGCGAAATAGTTTATTAGTTAGTTAGCTAGTTTTAGTGGCCAGTTATTTATTACACCTAGCCTATAGTGTAGTGTAGCCATAAGACCGTAGATAATATACTACAGATCGAATTGCCATGAACCATTTACCAAAAACCACCAAAACACACGCACTACTAAGAGAAATGCCTTGCTCAAATGCCACCGCAGTAGTTTCTAGCTAGTATTACTTATAACATAGGAATTTAATCTTTCAAATGAAACGACTTTTATAACAAACGACAATACCACTTTTAAAAACCCAGTGCTGCGAAAGTTATTTTTCTTTACCAATTTACGCAGCGCCATCTGGTGTATTTTCTTACAATTGACATAAATGTGCGCTTAGAAACCTGGCGTGCTTTTGATGCACTACCTTCCAGGGTTGCATTTGAAAATCATCAAAACATCAGCTGTTCGGGATTCAAAATGTGCGCGCCCATAAAACAGTGCTGGTAAGTGTTAAAACCCCCCCCAGAGCGCCAATCGTGATTTTCTTTTGCTGTGATATTCGCACCTCTTCGCTCTCATGGCTGATCCAGTAATATATGTATAGCCGGCATGCCAGCCAAAGAAGCAGAGATGAAATCGAAGCAAGCGAAATGCAAAATAATTTTCCCCCTGCCTTATACACACACACACACACACTATGCGAAGAGATCTCCCGCCGGCTTTTGTGGTTGCCTTCTGCCTGCCGTCGACTGCGTCCCCGTTTTCGTCACTCTACATGGCATTTATTGCCCACCGCAGCCCCACGGCCGATTCATTCTCTCGCCATCGCTCGCCCCAAACGGAACGCAAACGCTCCCCCTAGTTCGACACTGACTCGCTCTCGGCCGCCGTGTGATAGCATAACGGGCACGCCCCACCCACCCCCGTACAGAAATAAAAAGGACTCGCCGTCGCGTGTGCTTTAATTTAACGAATTTAATCAAAAAGAAATCCTAACAAAATGAGCAGTAAGTTTCCAAATGCACTACTCCCAACGCAACCGTTGATACGGACGTAGAGTGAAGCAGCCACCAGCAAAATGCAAATGCGAAAAAAAGAAAAGAAAAAAGAAAGTGTGTGTGTGTGTGTTTATATGCATGGCATGGCTCCAGCTCCAAACTCCAACTCCAGAAAGAGCCTGCCCCAAGTGGAAGCTCCTTGCTCTTCCCTGCATTCGTTTCTATTAATTCTACAACTACAGTTAAGCCTCGCCTCGCTGCAACTCTCACATTTCATAACATTTCGCTTGGAAGATAAGAGCGCGACCAGAATGGGCATAATATTCGTGTTTCATATTTTTCGTAGAGCATAAAGAAACGGCAGCAGCAGCTCTGTGCGAGTTTTCTGCTGGCTGGCTAGTAAATTGCGGCGACGACGACCTTTACTGACCTTCAATGGCAAGCATTTGCCTACCTACCTCTACCTACCCGCAGACTGTGTCCCTCTCGCGCTCTTACGCTGTGCAGAGCATTTCGATTACTATTTTAAAAAGCGCATCAAAAGCCTCAATTTGTTTGTTTATAAAAAGTATGCGGAATGCTGCTTTAGACAAAACTGCTGACAACTGATAAGCGTTATGGCAGCGGGAGCTAGAAAGCACCGCTAAGCGAGAGAGAGTGAGAGAGACCAGGAGAGAGAAGCGCTTGATAGTTATGCTTAGAGCTGCTTCTGCTAATCGGTGATGGAGAGAGGGAGGCTAAGTTGATTTGTTGTGACTTGATTGTCGCCGTATATTGATTTTTTGTTGCTCCACTTTTGGCTCTGCTCTTGTGACCCAGTAGCGCCAGGCAGCTTCAAATCAGCTTTATCAGCATGATTTCCGCATCCCCTCACATCCACATCCACATCGAAGTACAAATCAAAATCCCATTGAGATTATTGATATGCATTCGCCTTGGCATTTTCACACGCATTCGCTTACGTACGTTGATCATGTTTGAAGATGCACTAAACACACTATGTATACACATGATCCTATACGTGTGTATATATAAATTATAGATGTTTTTCTATTTATAATATGCTATATGTATCGCTCGGAATTATGGCTGGCGACAGGCGCTAAAAAGTTTTGTGCGCTCGAAAATATCTATACATACATATGTATGTATGTATATAATTCTCGAAAAATCTTTTCACACGAGAACGAATAATTCCTTGTCTCGCCCACTATTGGATTCTGTCTGGGCTATACGTTCGTAGAATATTTCCAAAATCCATTAAATCTGCATGAGTTTATGCCCGCATTTATCATCAGCCTCTGCAGCTGTGTATTTCTGGGTTTTCGCCCATGGGGGATATAAAAGGAATCTCCAGCAGCAGCCACCGCTGAGGCGCCTGTACCACTGCATCGCCTACCCGCAGATGCCGCAGAGGCAGAAGATGACTATGAGGCTGTGGCTGTTGTTGTTGTTGTTGTCGCGCTACAATTTCATTTCATTTCACATTTAGCCGGCTATTTTTAGTGGTCTGCTCTTTCGGCATCGGCATCGGCGGACAGATACACAGATACACACCGCATCCATGTGTTCCCGCAGAACTTGTTTCTCGCCTTGCACTCGCCAATTTGTGCGTTGGTGTCGCCTCGCCGGTCGCCCATTCCTCATTCTTCGTTTCCCATTCCCCCCCACTGCACCCAATGTGGCCTTTCCGTGGATTGGCAAACGGGTTTCGGTGCGCTGGGATGTGTGGGCATAGGCATGGGCGGAGCAGGTCTGGGCCACTCAAGGTCTCTGGTCTGTCATTCACATAATTTCCGACGCCATTCATGGATGGAGCCTTGCGCTAATCTGATAGATGATACTCCCCATTATGCCCCAATAAGCACTCGCTCAACCTAGACCCCAGCAACCCCCGTAAGTACCCGCACTCGGAAGGCGACCTTTTTACGCTCTCGCTTTTGACTGGGTCGTTTATCAGCTCTATTGTGCTACAGGTATACTTACTGAGCGCATGATAAAAGAGCGCACTTTCTGTTTGAAGAGAGAGAGCGAGCTTTCGGCCAGAGCGCAGCTTTAGCTCTCTACACTGGACACAATTTTTAGGATTTTCCCAGAATTAGCTGTCGAACAACGTGCTAATTTATCTATATCTAAGTTCATGTTTAAGTATATTTTTAAGGAAAATGTCGCGTCGCCATTCCGTTTGACAGGTTTCAACAGTCTCAACAGTTGTGGAGGTCTAAATTTAGATCTAATTTAGACCGAGTGTTGTTTGTTTGTTTTATTTTATCTAAATCGCCCGATTTATGGGACAGAGTGAAATTCCTTTTGATCGTTATGTCTTATTGTCTTGTGAATCTTTTTGCCACTGTGGTTTCTTTTTTGTTTCTTGTCACATCCGGTAAGTCAGAAGTTATTAAAAACCATTCTCGTTTCGGACCAGAGTAAATGATTTCATTTTTATTTTAGGCACTACGAATCATGAGAAAAGAAAGCATAAGCCCACACTCTTACACATACACACAGCACACATACACACAAACACAAAAACATAAGTTGTATATAGAAGAAGATATAGATGGAGGGGCAGACTCCTCGAACGAACCTCATCTCCAGCTACAGTTCTAAAGTCTCTGTTATCCAACTGTATCCGTATCCGTATCCGCATCTGCAACTGCATCCTCATCCGTGTCCGCATCCGCATCCGTACGGATGCGTGTCCGTAGCAGCGAGAAGGTAGTTTTTGTAATCCATTCACTTTTTGTATTCCAAGCTTTCTAGGCCGCTTCTAAAACCAATGTAAACAGAGCTCTCTAATCTGACATTTAACCCCACTAAAGTTAGTCCCACCAAATGTACAAAGATTATACATGCATACATACATATATACTACACCATTTATATATGTAAAAGTATCTACAAATTATCTCTGATTTTGTAGCACTTAATACCAAAAACAATAATGTTCGAAATTGAAATTGTCAATAATCTAAATTGGAAATAAAACTTTAATTAATTGGTATCTCTTTTTTAACTCTAATGAATTTTTAATTTTCAACACAACAAGAATGCATGGATTAATTGCCATAAAATTTAACACGATTTCTGGACGATAACCAGAAGAAATGGAAGGGATTCCAAATGAATAAAATGTTGGGGAATTAATAAATAATCCTTAACTAACCAAACCGGAAGAGATCAAACAGTTGATCAACCCCACAAACAATCTGTAAAAATTTAGCCAAAATCTAACCCTGTAAAAACTAATTCCCCATAAAATCAGGAGGGGAATATATCTAGGAAATCGCACCCACACTCATTTACATATACATATCTCGGATATAAATTATCATATTCTATATATAGCTTTCGCCCAACTAAATGCCAACTACGCAAAATTCTAATTGCCCGTCCAACGATGCCGATGCCGATGCGCCTGAAATATGTTCTGCTCGATTTTCCCCAGTTCTTTATGATTTGTTCTCAACTTCTCTACTTTTTATTTTACGCTTTGCAGTTGTTGCTTCTCTAACAAAAGCAAATTAAAATTCGCTGCATGTGGAAGCCGCGTGCCCCGCCCACTGTTGACGCAGATGGGGATTTGCACACATCGGCAGATACTACATCTGTATGGGATCTCTGTGCTTTTCCATATGGCAAAAGAATTCTTGTTTATTTATAACCCATAACGTGGATGCTCCCCGTTTTTATTATTCGCCAAATTCGAAATATGTAAAACCTTAAAAAAATGAAGCTGCTCTGAAACGTGCATTGCAACTGCAATCGTGCCTTTAACTGACCGCACCACACACCACACACACTTCCGGATATCCGTTTCTAAAACCTTTCCATTCGATTCGTCCACTCTCCTCCACAGAGTTCGCTTGGGTGACGCTGACGACAAATGACACGTACTCCCTGGGTGCCCTGGTGTTGGCCCATTCCCTGAAGCGGGCCGGGACCGCTCACCAGCTGGCCGTGCTGGTGACGCCCACCGTGTCGGAGGCGATGCGCGACAGACTGAAGGACGTGTACAATGTTGTGCAAGAGGTGAATGTGCTGGACTCACAGGATGCGGCTAATCTGGCCCTGCTCTCCCGCCCGGAGCTGGGCGTGACCTTCACAAAGCTGCACTGCTGGCGTCTGGTGCAGTTCGAGAAGTGTGTCTTCCTCGATGCTGATACCTTGGTAAGATCTACATACAGTATACTCCCAGTGCTGCTCTTTAACTTAATGTCTTCCTTGAAGGTCCTGCAAAATGTCGACGAGCTCTTTGAGCGCGAGGAACTCTCGGCTGCTCCGGATGTCAGCTGGCCCGATTGCTTCAACTCCGGCGTCTTCGTGTTCAGACCCAGCCTGGATACCTTCGGCAAGATCACAGAGTTCGCCATACAGAACGGAAGCTTCGATGGCGGCGACCAGGGCCTGCTGAATCAGTTCTTCGCGGATTGGGCGACGGCGGACATTAAGAAGCATTTGCCATTCGTCTACAATGTGACGGCCTATGCCTCGTACTGCTATCTGCCCGCCTTCAAACAGTAAGTCGAGCATCCGCATCTCATCCAATCCCACACCAGAAGGATCAGTGGTTAATCCTCTGCCTTGTCCTCCTCCCTTTCAGGTTCAGAGATAAGATTAAGATTTTGCATTTCGCCGGCAAGCTGAAGCCCTGGCTGATTCAGTTCAACTCTGAGACGAAGACGGCGGCTGTGTCCTCGGACTATGCCCACGCCCAGGACCTTATCCAGCTCTGGTGGAACATCTTCTGTGATACCGTCATCGAGTCCCTGTCCAGCAAAATGGTAAGCGATCTCTATTGACCCCCTCTTTATCTATCTATCTGTATACTCCCCGCCGCGCTCGTTCGAATTTCCAGCTTCCTTGCTGTGACTCTCAATGTCTCTATTGTTTGAACCGAACCAAATGATAACTAAAACCCAAAGCTAACACCAGAATCTGTATTGTTCTAACCCAATGTATTGCCCCGTCCCCACTTTGCCTCGTACCTCTATCCGCTAACCGCAAGCAAACGCAAGGAACTGTTGCTAGTGATAAGCCCGAGGGAGCCCAAGCAGTCCAAGGGTTCAATCCAGAGGTAAGAAGATCTGTAATAGCCGAAAGCACTCTGCACCCTCGAGAGTCGTAGATATGCAATTAGTACAGCAATTCCCCCAAAGAGCACCAATCCATGTGTAAATATCAATTATCTCTTTGTATATTTTTCCAATATTTATTTATTGATCCATCCCAAGTATTGTAAATAACCCGCCAAATATTTCTCAGATTCGGTCTACTATTTGCTATTTATTGCCGATAGCTGACCTCGTTTTCTCCCTCTCTCTATTTAATCTCTTGTTCCTCTTTTGTTCCACTTTAAAGAGCTGTTCTTTGTCGTCTCTTCTGTTTCGGGGGTTTACTTTCGGTTTTCGGATTTTCGATTTTCTGTTGATTTTTATTCAATTAGCAGCCACGCCCCAGAGCAACCTCTTTTTCGGACAGACAGACTCTCTCGATTGGGGTTTCTTTTCACATATATATTTTTTTGTATATATTTTGTATTCTTTGTAATATATGTTCCACTGTACTGTGTGTGTGTGTGTGTGTGTGTAATTGTTTTAGTGTGCTCTTTTCGTTTCTGTTTTTCTAATTTGCATCCATTTTGGCCGAAAGCCAGGGAAATGTTTCGGTCTACGCCATCGATGGTTGGAAATGATTCAGGGATGGGTGGGTGTGGTATGGCGGTGGTGTCGTGTCGTGTCGCGTTTGGGGGTGCCAGAAATCTCTCTTGAATCATTATAGATCCTCCTATATCCCATCCATGCAAACAAACAAACATACACACACACACACAATTCTTTCGTTCCACTCTTTCCCTTGTGATTGTCTTTGTCTCTTACCTTGTCTTTGTTTTTTCTTTATTTTTTTCAAATTGATTTACTTTTGATTTACTTTTATTTTCCAACTCTTACTTTCCTATGTTTTGCGCATTCTGTAAATTCTGTAAATTGCCATAAATAATACCCGGATCGCTATACTCTATAAACCCGTATCGTATCTCTAACATCGCATTCGATTCGCCAGTGCCTTTGCTTAAATCTAACGCACTCGCAAGGTCCCTCCGGGGCGGACCATCGAGCAACGGATGGGCAGCACGAGTACTACCGGCAGCAGCAGCAGTTGCATCACCTCTTGCACGTCCGCGAATACCGCGATCCCTGGGCAGATTACTACGAGAATCTGGAGCGGAGGCAAGAGAGCCCCGAGCCGGAGCATGAGAGTCACCACAGCCACCATGAGCAGGACAATGAGCATGCAAACGATGAGTGGACAGCACCCGATGCATGCCCACAACCACCGTCACCACCCACCACTCCTCCTATACCCACTGCCAACAATGCCACTGCCAATGAAAATGCCAATCCAAATGGCCATGCAACTGCCGAAGAGCTCACGTCCAAGGATGTGAATTCCAATAAACTGAATGCACGCCCAACCCCACCAGAACATGCCACGTTCACGCCCAAAGCCACTGCCACGCCCACAGCCACTGCCACAGCCACAGCCACTGCCACGCCCTCGCCTCATCATTCCGAGCATAGGCAGAGAGTAAGAAAGAGTACGAAAAAAGCGCAGCCAGAAGTTGCAGTCGGCGTGCAGCCTGAGGTAAAGGCAATCAATCTCTCTGGCCTCTGACCCCGCACCTGAACACCCTCCAACCACCAAACTCCTGACCCCTGCATCGGATAGTGGTGTCCTAGTGCCTGTTCTAGTGCTAGTGATAATGTAATCTCATGGTTTCGTGCTGTCCATTCACTGTTTTGCATACGAATTGTCATTGTCATTGTTCTGCATCGTCTGTCCCCCGTGCTGCGCCCTTTGTCCACTGTTAGGTGTTCAGTTCTTCATGTGGTGTCTGTGCTCCGCCTGGGGTTGAGTGCATCTGTTGATTTATTATGCTGCACTCGCCCGGGTTGAAAATACATTGAACACAAACAGCAATTCATACGGCCGCCATCATCATCAGTGGAAGCAGCAGAAGCCATCTCATCCTTGTGTTGCATGCCATCTCCAGCACTCTCCCTCTAGCATCTCCTCCATTCTGCATAGTAATCCACTACAAGGTCGCCCGGACATGAGCTGCAGCCATAAGCAAAAGCAAAAGCAACAGCAACAGCAGCAGCAGCAGGAGCCGCACCCGCAATGCATCATGATTTATGCCTTGAGTAGCATTCTGTTCTCATATTAATCATACGCCCTGTGTACCGTACCGTGAACCCAACTAACATTTCAATGTTTTGTCGCCTTTCTAATAAATGTTTAAGTTGTAACCGCACTGAATGCATGCATGCTACGCCTGTCCCAGCACTCCAGCAACCCACCCCCGCCCTGCACACCTATCCACCCCTACCAAGAGCAATGTCAAAGCAAAGCCCCCACTCACGTTCCATTGCCTACTTTCAGGCTGGTCTGGCTGGTGCCCTGTCGCAGCTGCAGATCGGAGTGCAGCGGTCGCCCGAACAGGAGGCATACGAGAGTCTGATGCGGCGCCAGTGCTGGGAGTCCGGACAGATCGACTACACGGGCGCCGACTCGTTCGACAACATCTGGAAGAAGATCTCGCAGACGCTGGACAAGAAGCCGGAGAAGGAGGCCGAGGAAACCGGTAGTTCATCTTAAGAAAAAACAAAAACAGAACAAAACCTACACGTAGAACAGAACAAAACACAGCAGAACAAACGCAGAAACCGTTCGTTACTCGTCGTTTTGTTGCCACTTTTTTGTTACGCACACACAGTCAAACACTCACACAGATACCCCCCACCCATCCAAACGCACACACACACACCCACTCTCTCACACACACTTGAAGAGAGGCAGCGCCAGCGGCAGAGTGCTGTCAATTTTAAGGGGCAAAACTCTAATTGAAATTTAAGGTTTCATGAGGATGTTGAAGCGCCCTTCTGGGCCAAAAATGTTGTCGAGCGAATACTTCCGAGTGTCATAAATGCAATTTTTATTTGCCCCCCACCAACACTCACACACATACATCCACTCACAGTTACACTCATCCACGCTCCGCGTGGCAGCAGGGCATGGCATCTTGTTAGGGAAAGTGAGGCGGAAAAAATGAAAAATACGCACAGAAATTTTAATTAAGTTTTCAAATTAAACTTTTTGTACTCACTCGTGTGGCTGCTGCTGCTCTCGACAGCAGCCATTTGGCACTTGGCCACACCACGCTCTAGCCGCCCTCTGCCCCTTCTGCTCGCATAAATACACGCCCACAAAACTTGGCCCCGCCACAAACTTTTACACTTCATTGTATTTTAATTGAAAATGTTGTACTTTTGCCAGTACTCGTACTCGTGATCCGTACTCGTGCTCGGTACGTGTGTTTACCAATTTATGGCGGTGACTGTTCATCTGCATCCACAAATTCATTGTAGCATAAAGTCCCACCCCGCCCACTCCCTTTGTGGTCTATCCCGCATTGCCCTCGTCCCCCTAAACATATGTAGATAGATTTGTTTTCAATATGAATAAAAATCATGCAAAAGTGTGTATAAAATAAATTTAGAATAAAATAAATCTCCAAAAACTGAACTCTTGTGGCAGTTGTGTCTCTGTCTGAATCTATAACTATATCTGTGTGTGTGTGTGTGTGCCTTCGTTCTGTGCACCCTTTCCCCTGCCCCAATTTCAGTTCGAAAATATTTGTTTCGAGTGTTTTGTTTTTGCAGTGGAATACTAATCTATATTTTCTATCCATCTATCTACATATATACTCGTACCATTTATGTTATAATTTACTTTGGAATATTGTCGTAATATTTATTCAAGAACCACAAAGAAAAACCCAACAACAAAAACTACAACACAAACAACTTGTGAAATTTGTGGAATTCTGTTTTTAAATGTGCATTTTTATTTTAGCCTTAAGTTGTGTCCATTCAGTCAGTCAGTCAGCCAATCGATCAATCGGCTCGCCACTGAGAGTTTATTTTTCTGCATTTGTCACTTTTCAGTTGTTTACTTTTAAGTCTTTGGGAAGTGCACCACTGCACCACATCCATCTGTGCCACCATCCATCCATCCATCCATCCATTTATATCCATCCATCCACCACAGAATCGTAGCTGTAAGAGCCAGCACCTCAGCAGATCCATGCGCCATGCGCCACCATCCATGCCACTCTCATTGCATCTCACTGTCCCTGTAGATAAATCAAAAGGAAATGAGATCGAATTGCCGCCCTAACACTAACCACATTTTCCAGATAACGATACTGACACTGATAATGATTGCGATAATGCTAACACACTAAGCTTAAATCAATTGCTAACCGAAACCGCAAACAAACTGCTGCTGTATCCAGCCGTGCCGCAAAGGACCTCCGACAAGACTCAAGGGAAGCCCAGCTCGAGTGGCAGGGTGCAGCCGGTGCCGGTGCCGGTGTCGGTGTCCGTGCCGGAGCCTGACCAACCGCCTCGCCCCAGTCCCCGCACAAAGGCCCCAACAAACAAACTTGCAACAAACGCTGAGAGACCTGCTTCCGGCTCCGTCACTGTCTCCACACAGCATCCCCAGCCACAGATGCGACAGCAGTCACAAGGACAGTCTCTGGCCAAGCCCCAGCCGCAACCACAGCCATCGCAGACATCAGAGACGTCGAGCCAGCAGCACATAACCCTGCAGCAGCAGCAGCATCAGCAGCCTGGCAACAGTGGCAAGGCCAGCCGCCAGCGGGCGGTGCGTAAGTTTAAATAGCAATTACTGAACCTGCTGATGCACTACAGCTGCCTGCCGCACCTGGCGTGCGGGCCCAGGCGGCTGGAACTGCATTTGGATCCCGAGCCCCAGCCCGTGCACGTCTAACCAGGAAACAGAGCCCCCACCCCAACGATAAGAAACGGAATACTCATGCAACGAATGGAATGGAATGGAATCGAATCGAATCGAAAGGAATGCAATCGAATGCTGTATAAATTGCTTACTAATCGCCAGGCTGCCTTAAGTAGGAAACCAACTGCAATATCGTAGAATTACCCTAGGAAAACTTAGTGATAGGAAAACTAATAATAGACGTAAGGCCTCGAGTGCTTTGGATACGCAGATGCAGCGAAACTAACCCTAACACTTGATACACACACACATACGCACACTCGATCTTAGGAGTGGAATGAATGAGTCAATGGTTGCGTAGACACTATACACAGACACTAGTCCACACCACCCTCTAATCCATCCCCATGAAACCACCAACACAGAGCAACTGACTTCCGCGGACATTGAGGATGGTAAGGTGGAGTTCGACAGGGCGACTGGCGCCAGCACCAAGTACAAGCTGATCGAGGGCGGATATGAGATGATCACCACCACGCCCCAGCCGAATGGTACCGTGAAGACGCAGGTGCGAACCTTCTGGGACCCCAAGCCGGTCAGCCAGGAGGATCTGTTGAAGGAGCAGCAGAACAAGAAGCTCGTCCAGAAGCGGCTGGGCAAGGAGGTACGCATCGATGAGCGCACCACCATGCTGACCCGCGCCATCGAGGGCGGCTACGAGGAGGTCTACACCACCATCAACGAGGATGGCACCAGGAGCATGCGCACCAAAACCTTCTACGATTCGGTGCCCACGGAGGTGAATGAGAACACCAGCACGAAGGTGAACAAGAGCAAGAAGAATGTGACCCGCAAGTCGTCGGTTGACTCTACCGATTCCACGGAGTCCTCTCGCCGCGTCGTCCAGAAGGTGCAGCAGCAGCAGAAGAATGTGGTCCAGAACTCCAGCGACCAGCAGTCCAACTATCGCGAGGACACAACCATCGAGAGGCGCGTATCCGTCACTCAGAACATCGAGATCACGGAAAATAATCGCACGGTGCGCAAGAACTCGCTGCAGGAGCAGAACATCAAGGCCATCACCTCCTCCACCTCTTCCAGCGACAAGAAGCAGAAGAAAAAGGCCAAGTCCTCGGCCCCACCACCGCCGGCGGACTTTGTGCAGAACGACACCACGACCGTGGCCTCAAGGCGCGTGCCCGGCGGTCTGGAGTATACCTATAACACGCAGCTGGAGTCCGGCAAGACCATCACTACGTCAAAGACCGTCTACGAGGAGGAGGAAGTGGAGCTAACCGAGGAGGAGATCAGGCAGTACAAGAAGACGCTGAAGGACGCCGAGAAGCACAAGAACGTGACCTCCACCAAGAAGCTCAAGTCCGAGTCGGGCACCAAGAAGATTGTGCCCTCGGAGAATCCCGGGGATGTCACCACCGTTGAGACGATCAAGATCGAGGGCGGCACCGAATACCACTACACCACCGTCACCGCTGAGGGCATCGTTAAGAAGGCCGTCAAGACGGTGTTCGATCCCGTGCCCAGCGCCAAAGTGAATCCCGATGACACCGACGAAGAGGAGATTATCGAGGAATACGAGGAGGAGATTATCGAGCCCGGAGAGAAGAATGTGAAGACCATCGAGACGGTCCGGCAGTTGCCCACCAAATTCGAAGGTACGTCAATTGTTAATCCTCAACCCTGAGAACTGATCTTACATTCTACTTTTCTCTTTGGCTTGGCAGAGGAAGTGACCATCACCCACGAGAAGAAGGAGAAGAAGGTAAAGAAGTCCATGGTCATAAGCCATTAGAGATCGCGCACGAACACAAACACAACACGACACACTCACACACACACACACACACACAAACATTTACACACACTTACACAAAGATGCTTCTGTATGATCCCCAACGAAAGGCTGTACCGATCGAAGCCCCGACCAGATCCCTCGATCCCTAGATCCCCAAGCTAATTCTCGTGACATATTTCAGCATCCGGTTCAGTTAGTTGGAAGCGGTCTTTGTACGCTTCTCGCCAGCTTCCTTCTCAATTATTTAGCCAGCCATCTGTTGCCCTAGAAATGTATTACAAAATTATCCAAAATTAACTATTCATTTAATTATTGCAATATAAAAAATATCTAACATAATTGTAATCCCATCTGTTTCTAAAAATAAAAAACAAGTTTTGGTTCGAATTAGTTCCGCTTGGCCTTCTTCTTTGGCACCTTCTTCGATTTGGAGCCGCGGCACAGACAGCACAGGGCAAGGATGGGCAGCAGAACGATGGCCAGGGCCAGGCCTACGATGTCCAGAAGGTAGAACTGATACCAGGGCAGCTCCACGCCAGAGGCCACCAAGTGTGGGGCTCCGCGGTGTTCAATTACGTACTCGATCCAGTACATGGCCGTGTCCATGGCACTCAGGGGTCGATCTCGGAAGACGCGCGACGCTCGTTGCATGTTCGTTCTGTACTTGGGATTCTGGATGAGTTCGGTGAGCGAGAGTCGCAGCTGGTCCTCGGAGACCGTGCGATAGTCCAGGCCCAGCGCATAGCCCGCCTTCTTGCCTTGGTTGATGTTCAGGTGCTGATCGCAATAGACAGGCATTCCCAGCATCGGCACCCCGTTGTAAACTGCTTCCTGCGTGCCGAAGAGGCCGCCGTGGGCGATGAATACCTTCACATTGGGATGCGCCAGTATGTCTCCCTGCGGCATCCAACTTTGCACCTTCACATTGGCCGGCAGATTGGGCAGCGTCTCATCCTCGAACTTCCACAGAACCCGCTGCTTCAGGCTTCCGAAGACGTTAAGAAAGATCTTAGCTTCTCGGGCGGGAGATCGGCACTGCGAACCTGGGAACCTGAGCGGAGATCGAAGCAGAACAATTAGCTTGAGCTCATGGACAGGACTGCAACGTCCACTCACCGAGGCTGAAGTAGATGGCTCCGTCGGTGGCGCCATCGAGGAACTCCTGCAAATGCTTGGGCAACGGTTTGGCTGGCTGAATGTGCAGTCCGCCCACGGCAACCATGTTGAAGGAGGTGGGTCTGGTCGTGGACAGCGGCATGTAGTTGTTCAGCAGGATGGCGGATATGTTTCGCTCCAGTTCGTTGATGGTCGGAACCCTGTCCAGCAGCCGGGAGAAGTGCTTTCTCAGAACGGCGTCCTGCTGGGGATAGTAGGAGAACTTCCTGATGAGATCTTCGGTTCCAGAGATGATCACATTCCCGATGCGCTCCCACAGCGACATGCGGTCCGTGTAGGGCATAAAAGCGTGGGGCACATAGGACCATGGCGAGACGATGCCCACCATCTGGCTGAAGTAGTTGGCGTACCCAAAGGTCGAGACGGTGATGATGGGGATCTGATAGAGATGCCCCAGAATGAGGGCGCCCTCGTTATAGAACTGCTCGGCCAGCAGCAGATCGTACTTCCCGACTTTGTCCTTGGCATTCACCATCTCCTGTATCTGCGGCTGATCGAAGGCAAAGTCTGTGCTGTGGCTACCCATCACCATCATCAGCCGGACGAACGTCAGATTTGGCACATCGGTCATCTCCAAAATGGTATTCGTTTTGGTCATTTCCTTGACTAAGATGACAGATAAACGCACACTATTACAGCTGTTCAACCAACAAAGAGTCGACTTACTCTCTGGCCAAAAATTGTACTGTGCAATCAGAACCTCCTTGTAGTTGGGACCCAAGTTCTCCTTAGCCAGGGAGAAGGGCGTGATGAAGGTGACCTCGTGTCCACGCTGCACCAGCTCCCGAACGATCGCATTCGTCATCATGAAGTGGCTCTTGCCGGGAAAGAAGAAGGCAGCCAGGATGCGGGATCCAGCACCCAGGTCCAGCTGCTGCAGAGCCACCAGAGTGAGCAGCAGGATGCATTTGAGTTGCTGGAAGGCAGAACAAGAACAAGTGCCACAGTTTGTGTGGCATTCAGTCAAAGTCAATGACCTACTTTAAGATATTTTCTCGCATAGTTTGCTTAGCACTTGATCGGACAAATTATCTTATCTGTCAGCTGTTGATAGTCCGGCTAATTAAAAATTTCCACTGGGTCACTGATAAGAGCAAACCACCTACTTTCGCAGGTACTACCAAAACTTTCCCTGGGCAGAAAAAACATGTTTTTATTGCCGTTTACCATCAGCTTCTCGGAGCTTCCAATACGCTTAATTAACCTTTCTGGTGAAATAGTTTGCAAATAAACTTGAAAGACCTTTCACTAGTTCTAATCAACAAACCATTTTGCGTTCCCCTGTTTGCTGTTCACTTCACTGCGCTATCAACAATCAACAACCGAATCACTAGACGATTCTCCGACGACTGAGAACGTGTTCTGAATGGGATGCGTAGGTAGGTAGGGCTGATGTCGATACGTATAGGGCCTCGAACGACATCGTTTTATTATTATTAGATTAGGTATGGGGCGATCGGCTAATTTCGAACATGTTAGGGATCATGTTAACAGTATTTCCTACTACTGTTCCTCTTGTTTAGCTGCTCGAGCTGCGTGTCACGGAAACAAGCACAGCCCGCGCCCATCTCTAAACGAGGCGAAAGTTTCTGAAACGAAACGACGATCGCTGCTCGTGCGGTAAACGAGCGGTTCAATTGATGAGAAGCGAAAAAAAAGAATAATAATTAACAGACTGCTGAAAAATTCGAGTTGTATTTTGAATGTATTAATAAGTAATAAATCAGTGGATCAGTGTGCTTTGGCTTTTCTGTGCTTCTTGTCGCTCCCCATCAGCAGGCGGATGGCCAGAAGGGCGGCCAGCACAGCGGCCAAACTAATGGCTGCCACAAAGGCCATCACGTCCAGCAGGTAGAACTGGAACCAGTTGAGATCCAGGCCGGCGGACCGCATGTGTGGTGCTCCCCTGTGACGGATGACGTACTCGATCCAGTAGACGGCGCTCTTGCGCGGCTCCTGGGGACGATCCCGGAAGATGCTCGAGACGCGACGAATGTTCTCCTTGTAGGTGACATTGTGGACCAGCTGTAGCAGGGAGTGCTCAAGAATTTCACGGGTGATGGACTGAAAGTGCAGGCTAATGGCATAGCCGCCCAGCACGGCCTTGTTCATGTTGAGATGCTGCCATCAGAGAGAAGAAAAATTAGCATTGAGTGACACTTCGTGGCCCACGAGCCTACCTGATCGCAGTAGAAGGGAATGCCCAGCATGGGTACGGCGTAGTGGACTCCTTCCTGTGTGCCAAACAGCCCACCGTGCGTGATAAACACCTTCACCTGGGGATGAGCCAAGATGTCCGCCTGTGGCAGCCATTTACGTACCATTACGTTGGGCGGCAGCTGGCGGAGGCTTTCGTCCTCGAACTTCCACAGCACTCGCTGCTTGAGGGAGCCGAATACCTGTAGGAACAGCTGCAGCATCTCCTGGGGCATGTCCTTGCTCTGGACGTTGCTGCCCAGGCTGAAGAAGATGGCCCCCTCGCTGGCCCCGTCCAAAAAGGCTTGCATGTCCGCGGGCAGGGCCTTGGGGGGATAGATGTGCATCCCGCCCACAGGCACCATGGCATCCACAGTGGGCCGGGCCGTGGTAAGCGGTGCGTGACTGTTGAGCAGCATCACAGAGATCTCTCTCTCCATCTGCCTGACCCTGGGCACCTCGCCTGCAAGCAGATATTAAATGGTTTCCCGTTTCGCTTATACTCGAGTCCACACTCACCCAGTACGGGGCCAAAGAACTCCCTTGACACGGCATCCATTTTGGGGAAGTAGCTGAGCAGGCGATCCAGGTCCTCGTAGAGCGAGGCGTACGAGTTCTTCACCCGCTCCAGGAAGCTCATTCGATCGGTGAACGGCATGAAGCCGTGCGGCACAAAGGACCAGGGCGTGATCAGGCCCATCATCTGGCTCATGTGGTTCTCGTAGCCCAGCGTGCTGGTCGTGACCACGGGTACCTTATAGATGTGCGCCAGGGCGAGGAATGCCTCCTGGTAGAACTGCTCGGCCAGCAGGAGATCGAAGACTCCTTCCGTCTGCTTGGCATGAATCAGAGCCTGAACCTTGGGCTGGCGCAGGGCGTGCTCTGTGGTCTTCAGCCCGATGATCTCCAGCATCTTCAGGAAATCATAGTTTGTCATGCGCGTCAGCTCAAACAAGTGCTGGGCTCCAAAGTTCAGCTTAACTGCGGATGGATGAAATAGATAACATGACGAGAAAATTCCTTTGTGTGAGTCTGCACTCACCATCGTGCCAGAAGTCGTAGACGGGCTCGATCAGAATCTCCGTGTAGTTGCTGCCCAGCTGCTCCTTCTGCAGCGAGAAGGCAGTTATCATGGTCACCCGGTGGCCGCTCTCAACCAGCTCCCTCATCAGGGCCGTGTGCATCATGTAATGCGATTTGCCTGCCACCCAAAATATGCACTAAATGAATAGTTATTCCTTTCGTTTTGAATCTCGCATACCTGGAAATGCATAGACTGCTAGTATCTTGGATCCCACCACATGCCTGGGCTGCGGGAGGAGAGCCAGCAGCAGCCAACAGCAGAGCAGCAAAATGTTCATCGCTTAAATTCGAATGGAAATTTTGTATATTAATTGGATGTGCAAGTCATTAAGTGGAAGGCTGTTGCAATTGTTTGTAAGGCACTAATTGTTTACTTCTGATAAGAATTCAGTAATCTTCTTTAATGTACGACTCAAAATGTGATCACTACGTAATCAGTGATGATTATAGACATTCTGTTAGACTTAGTTAATGTGTCGCGTGCTTGGACTAATTTTTAGACGAACCTGTGGAGAACTGTAGTTCGTCAGCGCTGGATGAATCGGCTATGTGAAAGTCTGAGCGAAGACTGAGTCTGAGATCCGCATCGATTGTTGTTGATGTCCCTACTGCGATTCATTAGAATACGACTGTTCTACGAAACGGGTTTCGTTCGCGTATAAGAGAGATATGCCAACGGCAATCAATTTATTTTAAATTCATGTTCTCAATTTTATCCGGGAACGTATTGTGTCTAGGGCTGGGGAGGGGAAGGCATCGCTTCCAACACACAATAATAAATCACTTGGAATAAGATGTCTATGGCTGCGTCGTTTAATATTTGGTTTCGAAATATTTGACAGACAGTCATAAGAGTCAATTAGTATTGCTATTTTTATGTGGTGTGGGTAATATACGTACGTAATAAACTCATCTGTATACTTCACAGCATCACCCAATGTTTTATATATCTTGACGAGGCATATAATTTCGTGATGCCGGGACTCCTGCTTATCGATTGGCACGCGACATATATTTTTGATGATGTTTGCAACAAAATGAGATTTTAATGCCGATCGACAGTCTGGATCCTCCAGATCCCAAGCAAGTAGGTTCTTAACCGATATGGACCTATTTGCCCGAGACATAGCGCGATTCCCATGAAGGGCATGGCCTAGAAGTATGCCACAGTTTCCCAATAAATCGAACCCCAAAAGATACTTCATCAATTTTGCCAGACATATTTTTCTCTCAGCCTGAAAGCTGTACTGTTTTTTGTGGCTTACCTTTCTCTGAAGATTGTTTGATAGTGCGCGCAGCTGCGGTGCGGTCCCCATAAAGTAAACAAAACACAGCATACATATACATACGTACTTATGTAAGCTTTCTTAATCGTTTTATTTTTAAATTTCAAACGTAGTTGCATTTCAATCTGTGTGTTTGAATTTTCCTTTTGTTAATCAATATAATATTAGTTATAATTAAGTTAAGCTAAATTAATTAGTATACATATCTATAATGCAATTACGCGACAACGAATCATTTTTATGTAATTTACATCAGCATTTAGTATTCGATAAAAATGGATTAAATTAAAATTCTTGTCTCTATACAAAAATCACATTCGATTCGTCATATACTCGTACACGTATTCGTTATCCTCCTTGTGGTTATCTAGTTTCTCTACGCTATCTGTTATCTATGCTTAAATGTTGCTCTTTTTGTGTGAACTTTGTTCAAGTCCAATTTAATGTTTAAGTACTAGCTTGATATACATATGCAATTACGCAACACTCCTTCGCCTCCTGCCCAAGGACGAAGATGAAACATGCGTGTGTGTGTGTGGCAAGAAATTTTATGAATTTCCATTTTCAATTTGAACTTTTATGGAGAAAGTTCTGGTGGCTAGCGGGCGGGCAACTATTAGTCTAGGCCTTAAATCTAACGAGCGAAGAAGGGCGGGTGGGGGCTTTAGTGAAATTTAATTTGCTTTTGTACGTATTAAGGGGGGTCGGGAGGGGGTAGGCCAAAGCCGACCTAATTGGGGCCAGTCGTCGTGATAAATACTCGTAGCCGGAGAATGGCGCTGGCATTGCAGTCGGTTGCACGTACACACATGTACCATACCATATGGGTGAGCATATGGTTGAGTGGTTGCTTGGCTCCGCCTTCTGTTTCTCCTTACTTTCCCCTTGATCTTCTCCGTATCCTTTGTGTTGCTTTTCCCAAACAAAAAAGTTAACAAAAAGAAACATGGGGAGCTGTGATAAATAATTCCCCAGCTGACTGACTCTCTGCGGTGGCACGTGCTCAGAATCCCGCCTCATCCCTAGATGTACTTGGAGATGTAGCGCTTCTGTATGAGTCGGCCAGCCTTGCGCTTCAGTATGGTGAAGCGTATTAACTGCTAATCGCCGTAGTGCGGCGACTGCGGCGGCACACGTGGGTACAACTGTGGATGGGATGGGATGGAAGCGGGAGTTTATCCGGTTAGTTGGTTACATCATTTCGGGCTAGGGAGAGGGAGAGGGAGAGGCAGGGGCAGAGGTCTTTATCAATTTTGTACTTACACCCAAGAGGTTTCGCGGCACGTATCCCTCCTCGCCAATGGCATTCCTGGCCCACCACCACTCGTTCTCCGCATCGTCGCCTTTCCGCAACACGATCAGCGGCTCGTTGACGCGGAAGGATAGCTCGTCGCCGTTCTGGGCCTCGTAGGAGAACACGGCATAGACGTCGCCATTGTGCAGGATGCCCAGCTTCTCCTGGATGCCTGTAAGGTAGAGGGAGTTACGCTTGCATCTGGGACTGGGGCCATTTGCATCCTTTTACTTACTGTACAGATACTCTGAGCAGCCATCGAAGCCCTCTTCATCCTCCTCGCACTTCTCCGCGGGCGTCTCGTGGTCGGACAGGGTCGAGGCAAACAGGCAGGCTCCGCTTTCCACCAGGAACTTGACCATCGACAGGTTGTTGCAGCTGGCCGCACAGTGCAGCGGCGTCCAGCCATCCGAGTCCTGGGCATTCACGTCGCAGCCAAACTCCACCAGAAACCTGAACAGATGAATGGGGGACGGGACAGATGAATGAAGGGAGCGGCAGGCGGCGCAGATTGAAGGTTTCCACTTACTTACGATGTCAAAGTGCCCGGCACAGATGGCATTGTGCAGCGCTGTGATTCCCTCGTCGTTGGCCGCACTGGGATTGGCCACCTGCTTCGCCGTCTTCTTCACCAGCTCCAGCTCGCCCTCGAGGCTGGCGTCCAGCAGCAGGGCCAATGGATCGAAGCTGACGCGTCGCCCCAGCTTCGGTTTGCCTCCCGTCCGCTCCTTGATGTTGCTCGTGGTGCCGGCTGCGGTGGGTGCTGGTGCCACAGGTGTCTCCTGCTCCGCCTTTGTGGGGACGACACGGTCTGGCTCATCCACGCTCGACTCACTGCTGGGTGAGTGCTGGAGCGAGGGATCGGGCGAAGATTTAGCTGATTCCGGGGGTGGTCTGGATGGCTCCGACTTCCTCTGGGACAGCAGTGGCTGTTTCGGCTGGCCGACATTGGTTCCCGTGCCCGTTTGGCTGGACTTGAGCCGCGGCTGCTCGAACAGCGGCTGCTTGCGGATGGTCAGAGGCTTGGCCTTGATGGGCAGATTGTCGTTGATGTTCAGCGACTGCAGGCCGAAGGTGGCCTGCACCTGTGCTTGTGCTTGCGCCTGCCCCTGACTCTGGGACTTGGCCACAGTCGGCGGAGGGACGGAAGTCGGGCTGGCACTTGCCTCTGCAGGGGATGACGACGACTGCTCCGTGGGCGACATCTTGCTGGGCTTGGGCGGCAGGGCTGGGCGTGGATCGGCCAACACCACATTGGGCGCCACACGGTTCACCTTTGGACTGTAGGTGATCATCTTGGGAATGGAGCTGCCACTGCCACTGGCACCGCCACTGCTGCTGCTGCCGCTCACCGAATTGGGAGCTACACTGCTGATGGGCTTGCGGGGCGGCACCGTCAGATTGGTGACCTGCACCTGAAGCGGCTTGGCGGCATTGGACACGGCCAGGGCCACCGACTTGCTGATGGCGCCAAGGGGCATGCTGTGCACCGTCAACTGCTGCTGGTTGCTGCGCTCCGATAGCGTCTCGCTGGTCACCGCAATCTCGTTCTTCTTGTGGTGCTGCTGCTGCTGCTGCTGCTGCTGGTGGTGTCCTGGATCTGCCTGGCTCTCCTTGGTGACCTGCTGGTTGAGTTTATTGATCAGCGCTGAGGCGGAGCTGGTGCTTCCGCTGCTGGAGATGCTCTTGGGTATTTTGCTGGCATTCGTGGGGGCAGGTGGGGTCACTGTGGATGCAGCTGCTTCGGCCGCAGCTTGTGCTTGAGCTGCTGCTGCAGCGGCTGCCGCTTCCCTGTCCCGCTTCTTGGGCCCCACTTCTGCATAGATATGGGTGGTGCTGTCCATGGCCTCCGTTTGGGCTTGCTTCCGCAGCTCTGCCCCCGTTTTGGCCTGAACTGCGACTGGAATTGGCACTGCAGTCAGCAGCTTTTTGGCCAGCTTCGATTCATCGCTCTCGCTGCTGGAGTTGGCGCCAGGCACTGAAACTGGAACGGGGACGGGAACGGGAACGGGCACGGAACCGGCAAAGAATCCCCCACCACTGACCTGGCCCAGTTTCATGTGGGTCAAGTCCTGAATGAGCTGATTCTGTTGGTTGGTGTTGGCCGTGGCCGCTGCATGCTTTAGCATATTGCCGCCGCTCAAATAGCTGGCGGTGCTCGTGATGGTGGACTTCTGTGGCGTGTGGATGAAGGGTTCCACGGCGGCCACATTGCCTCGGGCCCGTCCGGCGGCGGCAGCAGCCGCGGCAGCCGCCAGTTGATTGACCTGCTTCTGCAGCAGCTGCTGCTTGAGGGCTGCCACTCCGCCGTGCTTGGAGGACGGGTTCGAGACGGGCACGGGGACATGAAGTGGCTGCTGGTGTTTCTGCTGCTGCGTTGGATGCTGCTGTGGATGCTGCTGCGTATGCTGTTTCTGCTGCTGCTGTTGCTGCTGTTGCTGTTGTTGCTGTTGCAACTGTTGATGCTGCTGCTGGTGCTGTTGCATATGCTGTTGCTGCTGGTGATGAGTGTTCGCCTGCTTCTTGCGCTGGAGGCGCGTCTGCAGTTCGTAGATTCGTTGATCCACGGACCGTAGCTCCGCCTGGCGCTGCTGCAATGCCTCGCGTTGCATGTGCAGTCGTGCATCCTGTTGCAGGGACAACTGATTGCGATACTGCAGACAAATTGCAACGAAATGAGTTCTGTTTCAGCCCCAATCTCTTGCCGCACTCACCATTAACTCCCTTCGCAGTTTCTCCAGCTCACGGGATGCCTGTGGGGGCAGAGCCTGTGCGACGCCATTGCCCGTAGCGGACGTCAGCAGATTCACCGGACAGCGGCGATCCCGCCTCAGTTCCTCCAGCTGCCGTGTCAGGGCCTCCACTTTGGCGACGGCCAGGCTCAGTTCCTTCTCCTTTTCGCTGAACAGGGCCCGAATCGAGTCCAAGTCGTTGCCTGAATGGAGAGGCAAACGTTTTTTGGGTGGTTAAAGAGGTGGTCCTCGAATCAACATATCATCTCTGCAGCCCCCTGCACACGCCCCCTGCTAATCCTTAACTATTTTATAATCGCTTGCCGCCTACTGCTGCTGCTGCTGCTGCTGTCGGTCCTTGCTGTGTTGCCGTGTTATCCTTTTGGGGGCTCTGTTCGCTGTCTAAACTAATTAGAGCCACAACTGGGCGAAACCTCATTAACATAGTGCTCATGTGTGCCTTGTGTGTGTTTGTGTGGTGTGTGTGCTTGTGGGCTTTGCCAACGCCAACGGCAACATCTTCTTGGCCATGCTCAAGAGGCCCCCCGCCTCCTGCCGCCCACTGGCAATCATAAAGGACAACAAAGTGGCACACATACATAAATTAAATACCGCACACACGCAAAAGGATTGGAGTGGAGTGGCATCCAGTTGGGGCAGGGGGCGAGCATGGGCATTGGCATGCCACTAGTCAACATGGCTTTAACACATGTTAATTCAGCTGCCCCACACCGACAACCATCTGTCCTTCCCCCACCCCATCTGGCTCCGTGCTCAACTCAATTGGAATCATCGCTGAAGAGCTGACACAAGTGGACGGATGGCTGGCTGGATGGCTGGATGGATGATGTTTTACCGTTTTTCAAGGGTCGGGGCAAGTTGCAGGATACTCACTCAGGGTTACGTTGTAGGTCTTCTGCAAATCCACTTGACCCCGCAACGCACGAAGGCGTCGTAGCTTGGACTCCTGCGCCTCTACGCGCTCCCTTAGGCGTCGCAGTCGCTCGCCCTCCGCACTGGCCACGGCACTGCGCACCTCCTGGGACTTGAGGAAGCGCAGCCGCTGCTCCTTGGTGGCCAGCAGCTGGTGCTGGCTGTCGATCTGCTGCTGCTGTCTCAAGGCCATCGCCCTCAGTTCGGCTGATGTCAGCCTGCTGGGCACCTGTAATCAGAGATCAGAGATCACAGATAAGAGATGGGGACATCAGATGTGATGTGGCAAATGAAATTTTACAATTTATAATCGGCCGCAAACTTAAACACAAAGTCAAAGCAAAAGTAAAAGAAAAACTGAATGTTGTCAACGCCCATGCCCATGCCCATGCCCATGCCAATGTCCTTGTAGGCCATAAATCAAGTTATGCTTTAAGCTAATTTTCGGCTTTTTATTGGATTTGGGGCCTCCACTTCACACCACTCCACACCACTACACACTGGAGCTGTCCTTTGGTCCTTTGCGGATACTCACGTTCACGTTTGCGTTCACCATGGCGTTCATCTTGGGCTCGCAGGTCACCACCTGCGTGGGACTGGGCCAGCTCTTGCCGCTCGACCTTGGGGCGGGCATCATTGAGGCGGGCGGCATCTTGGGCAGATTCCCGGAAACGGGTCGACACACGCAGGTCAGCATTCTTGATGGGTTTTCTGTCTTGATTTTGCACCTCTTGGAGTTTTTGATTTATTGGAATTTTCGTGGCACTTTTGCCCGCTTTTTATATTTTCTTAAGTTCGTTTTTGTTTCGTTTCTCTCTGGATTTTACTTGGAAATTGCATTCACTGCAGAGTCCTGTCCTTGCACTGCACAGCAGGAGGCCAAATATGTATGGGTGTATGGGTTATTTCATTTATTGTTCAAGTAAATTTATAGCAATGGTGGACTGCCCGTACCCTCTCCTTGCTCCTCTATCACTCCCTCACTTAGTGCTTTTTCTTGGCTTCCAGCACCAGCAGCAGCAGCAGTAGCAGCAGCAGCAGCAGCTGGCGCGCAGAAGGAAGCCTCTGACTCTGTCGTTGTACACGTTAATGGATTTTCAATTCAGTGCCTGATTGAAAGCATACTTTGTACGAGAGTGTATGTATGTATTTGTGTGTGTGTGTGTCTGGGTAGTGTTTACCGAGCTCCCAGTGTGTTTTCGTTGTTGGGTTGTCATTGGCAACAGGGGCAGACCCGAACCCGTGCCGTGCCGTGCCGCACAGCGAACAGCCGTGACAATAATAGTGCTCGACATGCAATGCATGGTGGAGGAGGAGAAGTTGGCTACCAGAAGAACCCCCAGAACCAGTTAAAGTCATAGTTTGCGTGTGCTTAATCGCTGGCACTTGCCATTACATAAACCACTCGAAAGAGCAGAGAGAGAGAAATACAGTGCCAGAAACTATGGAAAGCTGATCTCTAGCCCTGCTGCTAGCCCCATTCAACAGACAATAAAGCGCCATGATGAGGACTAGCTTGGGCCTTGGCCATGGCCATGTCCAGGTCCTTGTCCATGTACGACTGTACGACTGTACGCACATTCGCGTAGCATCTATCCACTACCATGACCAACAACTCAATTGGCTTTCGGACGACCCGTCATCAACGTTCAGTGCCCGAACCATTGATGATGATGGGGATGATGTGGATGGGGGAGGGGTATGCGGTTGGCATATGGGAGAGAAAGCGAAGCCGGCAATGGATTGCCTCTGACAAAGCAGATACAATTTTTAAGCTCAAAAGCTGATCAGGGATTCGGAGGAGGAGGAAGAGTAATGCTCACGACCGCTCGCCCTCTGCCACTTTAGAATTGATTGCCACTTTTTCTGGGTCACAAAAATAACAAGCATATGTCCTCGGACAGTGCGTTGCAAGAGCATACAAAACTGCACCAAAGAAACGGAGAGCCATGAACAGTGACATCAAATAGTATCCGTTAAGGGCCCCTAAGCATGTCTCATACTTTATTTATGGCAAGTGTAAATGGCAGATCTAGCATCGTGCAGCCGCTCATCCATTCTTTCAAACTTTCCGACTTTACTTGTCAGATATTCCCTTCCAATTATTCCCTTAATCATAATATCCCTTCAAGTTCTGCACAAAACTTCTCCATAAGCTACTCAACTTTCCAGCCAACTATTTCCACAAGTTCGTACTTCGTTAATGAATTAATCTACTTGCCACTAACGATGCCATCTGTGAAAATATTTGCTCCAAAAAAAAAGTGAACTTTTCAGCTCCTGTTCGCATCAGAAAGCGAAGGAGACTGAAACTTGTCGAATGTGCATTGAGACCAGCGAAGCGGGAAAACCAAAGCCAAAACCAAACGAGGAGGAGCCGGGTGCCCTGGTGCCATGGTGCTGGAGCTATGAATGTAACCATCCAGCGATTTCAGTGCTGCGGCTGCCAGGACGTGGAGAAGGACGAGGACGAGCACCAAATTTTCGAGGAATATTTTCCAATTAACAAAGTTTGTCATAATAACTCGCTCGCTCGCTCGCTTGCGATGGAATCTTTAGCATGTAACGAGCAATGTGGTTCACTCTGCCAAACCCCCCAAAACCCTTCTGTAACCCAGGCAACACCGCACCGCCTCTTTATCCTTTCTATTTACATTTTGGCAAACATGTATGGGAGCTGACAAAGCTTAGCAGCTCCTGCAGGACCACTACCTGGAGCCACACAGAGTCCTTCTATCGGGCCGCCGTTAAAGCAATTTCAAGTATTTTCGTTGGCGCAGCTCAACACAGCAGCAACCAGCAAAATCGCAAAAAGGATAAGAGGTATGGCAATGGGTAACGAAAAGGATATTGGGTAAAAGCAGCAAGAACGCAACTATTTATGTTGCAGAAGTGTGGTGGAATGGATAGGGCTGGTAGGTGGTAGGTGGCAACCAATATAATTGTACATTGAAAGATGTCCGGGGGACGCTTAGCGCCCCTGCCATTGTACTAGTATGAATGTTGATGTTGCCTCTGGTTTTTTGTTGCTGCTGCTGCTGCTGCTGCCTCTTGTCGCGTAGCGGTGCTGTGGCGGAGCAACAAGCGTAAGTATTATTGATTTTAGCCTTCCCTTTTTTTAGTGGTTGTAAAAGGGCTGGAGTGGGTGCTGGAGGCGTTCTGGGGACATCGGACATTGCGTGCGGGCACGTTTATTGCTAATTTTTTCCTTTCCTTTTTTTTGCTGTTGTTTTTTTGTTCCACTTTGTCGGCGGCGCCTCCTTCCCTTCTCCCTTTCTTGCTTTTACTTCCTTTTCTGTTAGCCATTACTCCCGCTCTTTCCACCCCCTCTTTGCAGCTCATGCTCCATCCTGTAATGCCTCTTGGACTGTTCGCATTTTTTTTTCCAATGTCCTCGCTGCACATTTTCAAATCGATTACAAACAGGATATGCACTGCGGAAGCGTGTTTGATGGCAGTGGCTGCCACGGCCCCGATTAGAGTGGATGCATGGCGATGGCCCGTCCACTCATTCACTCACCGTCATGGCCACACATCCTGTTTCTGATCCTGTCACGGATTGGATTGCCCTGCGCCGCCTTAGCCATCGCCTTTTGTGGCCATTTTGTATTTTAATTAATTCCTGAAAGTTTTGCCTACCAGAATGTCCGCAACTTTGGCAATTTGTGTGCAGCGATGAGAGACGAGTGGGGACAGAGCACAGGATGATGGCGACAACGGTACAAGGACACACCTGCACACAGGACACACATTTCTATACACTTTCTATTGGACCACACACACATACATATACATATATACATATACATTTGTATGCACATATGTACATATACCCATATGATGGTAAGTGCGGAAAGGATCCTTCTGCTTTTGCTGGCCGAAAATCAAGACCCTCACTTTCGTGATATAGTTACTAGAGCAGACATTAGTGGCACTCTCTGTGGGTCCTGCCACACACCACATACCAGTTCCACTTGCTGCTGCTTGCTGCTGCTTCCGTCAAACGGTTTGTTCCAAGTGGTTTCAGTTGCGAGTGGCTTTTGGCTTTGCAAAAAGTTTTGCACCACTCATGTCAGGACAGCAGCAGGTTTCGTCCAGGCGGAGGAGGAGGAGGAGCAGCTTCTGAGGGCCAAGGGTCTCAACAACAAACTGCGGCTCAAGTCGTAGCTCACGCGAGGCTACACTTCTCATTCTGCCTCTTATTTTCTGGTGACGCCTCTGCTGATTTGGGTGTGGGTGTGGGGGGAAATATTTTGACGCTCTGCTGATGTCCGGCAGAATGATGTCTGCATGTCCGGATACTGCGGTGGGCTTGTGCTGCTGTTGCTGCGGTTGCGGTTCCCTGTCTTTCGGTTCGTTTTTGGGTCTTTGGTTTCCAGGAAGGAAAGGCAGAAGGCACCACCACCCACCAGCCACCCATACAGCAGCCACACGCACTGTAATACCCATTGACCCTCATTGAGAAGGAGCAAAAAAAAAAGGCAAGAGCGGGGAACGGGCAGGGAAAGCCAGATTCCGTGTCGAGTTGTTTTTTTTTTTCTTTTTTTGTATATTCCTCCCATTTCGTGGCAAATGCTTAACACTCAACAAAGTTGAGAGTTGAAGCAATTTTCCGCAAGGGTAATTAAAGCAGTGGGAGAGTGGAATGGCAGGGGCGATTCGGCGCGGGCTGTGGCAGGGGCTGAGGGGAGTCCTTTACACGTGAGCAGACTCTCCGCTCTGACCTGTTTCAAATGGCCGAGAAATTCTACGAAATCCGCACAAAGCGTACGTTCAATGTCGGGCAATTGAATACGAAATCGAGAGGAGTATTCGAACAGGGGATACCCCTCAAATAGAGGAGGTATGATGTGCAAAAGTAAGAAACAAGATGGGAACACAAGAAAAAAAATCATATAAACATGTACCACAATGTCCTGTGCAGAAACCAGAACCATATATCAGAGAGCAAATTAGAGAATATCCAAACAATTAATGGATATCCCCCAATCTCCCTTCTCTCTTCTCGCTTCCTTCCTGTCTCAGAAAATGTTGCAAAATACACAATTTCCATAGAATTAAAAAAGAATGCAGCAAAATTGCAATGATTTTTCGGTAAAGCATAAATTATTCGTACTTTTTGCTGCCCCATTCAACGGACATACATACATATGTACATATGAATGGTATGCATGGGAACCCTCCTCCGCGCAATGAAATATTCAAAAATTCGATTGAATTAACATCGAC